GAGTTTTTTACGTATTGCTTTCCTCATTTACGCACAATTTTTACAAAAGAATTAATAATGCTGCCTTTATCTACCTCTATCCTTTGTTCTTTTTTCCAAAACGATATTTCCCAATCAAACCCAGAGCAAAACAAAAGTCCCAAAATGTGTCGTTGTCAGTTTATAAAAACCAATTGTATTTTTTCAAACCCTGTATCATTTTATTTTACAGTAGATCTTCTATTATTATACAGTAAATCAGTTAAGCTTATTTTTAGCAACACACATTTCAAGCTTCTGGTTCAATTTATTGAGCTGGCATTTGCCATGCAACAAACTGTAAAAGTAGTTGTACTGCTTTGTTCGTAGAAAGAGAACGAGCAGAGCTCCTTGCAAAGAGAGGAAATGAAGGTGAAGATGAAGAGGTCTTGAGAGAGATTAATCTCTTTGACTTATTAGCTCAGGAACAACGGGAGGTTGGCAATCACTCCAAACGGCTTCCATGCATTTCATTTTAGTGTTGTAAGTATATCCTATATCTTGGATACTACAAACACACAAAATATTCTCTCTGTTGGAAAAAGAAGAGTATTGCATTCCTCTTGCTTCTTCATAGAATTTGTAAATTTATTCCATACCTTCAAATGGACATTGAAAACCTTTAAAATGTTGGAGCCTAGAATGCAGCATTGTTCTTCATTTTCTCTTTGCATCAACTCGGCGCAACACTGTCATACAGGAAGTCTTAACTGTCACTCTATTAAAAAACTGGAAGTCATACCTATGTATGTGAGCTAATTAGAAAACTGTTAGAAGTTTAACACTCAATGTGGAGGCCTGTATTAAAAGGAGAATTAGGAGAAATCTCTTCCCCCCGCCTTCCCCTGACAACTTTTCTTGAACATGCATGGCGGAAATAACCTGGATATTCTGAATCAGAATGCAACACAAAACGCGGTAAATGCCAGGTGGGCCACCTTACAATTTTATTTGAGCGCCTACGAACCAATGCGTATGCTCGGAATGTTGGCAGCCAGAATCATAATGTTCTATTAATATAAACTCTCTGGCCAGACTAGCGTATATACCAAAGAGTACTCAACTATGTAAGAAAATTTTAAAACTACTGGTACGACCACAGTATACCACCGTTTTAGTGGTACTACAGAATGGCTCAGACTTTCCCACAATAGTTTTCTATTTCATTTGGTCTCGGCTAGCTATTCGGACTTGCTATTAAAGTATACATACTTTGCCAGCTGCCATCCATCGCCGCCAAAAGTTTTTTTAAAAAAATCTTTATTTTTCGATTTCCTAATCGTAGAATGGAAATATTATTTTAAGAATAATAAAGAACAGTAAAATCTCGTCCTAATTGACAATTTTCTTAGAATAATTAGGACTCTTTTAAGAAAGGAACGATTAAACGCTACTCTAAATTCTCACAAATACAAGAGTGTTTACAAATTGCTGGTAATGTGCATATTAACAGCGTGTGATATCATTAAAAAAATTACATTTGTGTAATTTTTGAAAAAACTAATGAAAAATGAACTTTACTTTACTTAATGCAATCAGTACTATCCGTTTAAAAAAACTTGAAGAAATAATTTGGAGCCGCTTTTGAGAAAATGGCATTTGGACCTTTCTGAAAATGAGAAATTTCGAGCTAGTTTTCGCAGAAAATGGTTCAGTTTTCAAGTCAGTTTGCATGTACTTATAGTATCTATAAAGTGCTTCCAATAATATACAATAAGTTTTTTGAAAACTCAAAAACTTTCTGGGAAAAGAGCTTCAAATTTCGATTTTACAGTAGCGCTTAACTTCGTAAACATGACTCCAAATTTTTCAAAGAAAATTTCCATTTAAGACGAGGTTTTACTGTTATTTAATATTCTTAAAATAATATATCCGTTCTATTTTTAGGCAACCGAAAAATTAAGATATTTTCAAAAAATATACTTTGAGCGGTGATAGATGGCAGCTGGTAAGAGTATGTGGTAATTTCATATAGCTAGCGGAGACCAAAGGAAATAGAAAACTAATACGGGAAGGTCTGTGCCATTCTGTAGCACTACTAGCAATATATTGTAAGCAAAATATGGAAAATATTAATTGTGCTAGAGCGACAATATTTAGATGGCCCATGGGCGGTAAAATTATTAATCCACCCCTGCAGGAACGCAAACGATGTCGAAGAGCACTGACACCATCACTTTTACCAATAGAGGATTCCAAGAAGGACCTGTGACAATGGAGTGACCCTCACAACCCCTCCTAACCTCCTACTCATCAGCGATAACAGCTCATGCCATGAAGCTGTCTAGTTCCCTGATGGCGCCCCATTGACCAGTCACCGCGCTCCTGCGACTGAGGAACCTGTAGACGGAGCACACAGATCCCTCTCATAATCGCGTCCACTGCCCCACCCACCCTCAGTTTCGTAGCCCTCATCCATTGCTGGGAGTTCCGTCAACATTAACCTCCTCGTTTCGCCTGACCTGCACTACCCTACCAGTAATGTCCGCGCTCTCCTCCTTTCTCCGCAATTTGAAGAAGCTTGGGGTGGAGAGTACAAGTCCTGCAGAACAACTTGATGGAGATCACTTGAAGAAGCGCTCCCTTCGATACAAGGAGAGGAACGAAGATATTTAAAGGGTGCACCAGCGCCGGAATGCCAATGCCTTCAAGACAAATGGACCAAATTCACTAATAATGTGTCAAAATGGCTTGTCACTGAGATTTCCGCTATCAGTATCTTCTGCGTCCCGCCGTGGATGCCAGCAACACCGTTCTCGTGCGATTCCGGGCTAACTGCGTACTGTCCCTCAGGGATTAGTAACAGGAAATCGCCTCGCCGTAGGAGATAGAGAAGGGTTTTCCCTAAAAGCCAACACGCGACAAAGGGAGGCACTTTAGCTTAGGGGTCCTGCGGTCTTAAGGAACGGACACCCAAACCTCATGGCAAGCAGAAGGGCGCTGCGGAGGCGGCATGACGTAGTAGGTCACGTGAGTCTAGAGTATATAAGGGAGTGCACAGAGCCAGTGGGTAGGATCTGGAGACAGTGGGAGAATCTCGTGCAGTTGCTCAAAACTTGGCGCCACGAAGGTGCAGCGGCGAGCAGGGCTCGCGAGGCAAGTCACGTGTTGACAAGCCTGTGGAGGACTTTGTGTCCTTGGGTGAGTGCGGTCACGTGGGAGCGATGCTGTGTGCGTGCTCCGATGTGAGCAGTGGTTGAGTGCCACGACTCGAGCCGATTCTCAATCGCATACGATCGTTCCTGCGATCCAGGCAAACCATCATCTGCGATCCATACAATGCTGGCAACAACCACCTCGTAAGTTCAATAGAATCGTAGCATTTCTCATTGGAACGCTTTGGCAAGTTAAGTTCATGTCTACAGTTGGTACGGCCTTGACGACGCTGTGTCGTAGCTAGGGCCCTCCTCTCCCTGCACCTCCTGCTGTGGAATACTAAGAAGACTTACGCATATAGTACGAATAAAGTGCGCAATTCTACAACTCATGTATTACGCGGGTTCCTCCGGGAATTTGCAATCCGGTTATGTTTGCGTCCTATTTTGGGTGTTTTGGCCTCGCAGACGGCATGAGTCAACTCCCCTTCCACTATAAAGCAGGTGGTATGTTATGTTTCCGGCACTCTTATCCGGCTCTGGGTATGCATGGAGAGCCCTTAGGTATCCAGCTAGAGAAGTCCTCGGTCGAGAAAAATGAACTTTTGCAATTTTCGATATTCCAGAAGTTTTAATAAAAATATGACACACATACGCCATACCAGTCCTTGATTTATAAAATTTTAGGTCCCGAAAAGAGCTCCAAATTAATTTAATATAAATAGTCATATATTTGTGACATAGTTTAATAATTGTTCCTGAGGTACCGGAACGCCGTTCCGTCGTGTTCCGCCAAAAAACCAGCCATGTGTGATGCTATTAATGAGACTTAATTCCAGGGCTCAACAGAAAGACGATTCGCAAACGAAGAGCCATCGGCAGCAGTGAGAGCGAAGCTTCGGAGGGTGTGGTGACGTTGAGAGGGAGAAGTGGTAAGGCGGACCGCTCAGTTTCACGCAAGACGCCATTGCAAAATATGGGTTGTCGTGGAAAAGGAAGCTAGCAGCTCTCACACTGACAGTCCGTTGATTTAGTAGGATAACTATTTTCTTTCAAAACTTTAGATAATATTAAACGTTTGGTTTGCCATAAAAATGTTAATCATGTTAAAAAAGTGTAATCGAAAAACTCATTACACAGTGAATCATGCAGCTGAGTACAAGTACACCAAAGAATATAAATTTTGAAAATACATATTTAATGAAATTTCGGTTATGAAATCAGGTATAGAAGTTTTTTGCTTTACCATTTTCCGAAGTTTTTGAGGTGTAAAACAAAGGGGTTTGTACAAAAACTAGTACACACAATAAAAATAAAAGTTTCTCTCTTAACTTTTGCAAGGCAAGACCCTCTTATATCTTCCCATCAACTCCACTATTAGTGTGACTGTCATTATATTATCAGTGTCTGTCAACGAATTTTGCTTCAATTAGTTTCTTGTTAATTGATCAATCTCAATCTCAATCTTCCTTTTTCAATTCCAAAACATAAATTTAATATTAAAAATTAAATAAGACTAGAAAGATGACATTTTTATTGTTTAATTTATTTTCAAACGATTTATTAAGTTATACAGATTACATGATGTTATACAGTGAATATGGTTCGGCTATCATTAATATAAAATGTTGGAGATTGGCAATTGAAAGTTATTTCAAAAACATTAAGAGTTGTTAGAGAATTCCACTACAAAGTTTTTGAGTTCTGGACACTGAAATGGTGTCCTAAAACTGACACAGTGTGTTTACACTGAAATATTGGAAATAAAATACTGATGTTATTGTGCCAACACAATGACAAATGAGTATTGTAGAAATAGTCCATGTTACTTCATAACGTTGAGTGATTAACTGTTCAAACATGGGAAAATACCTAGATAAAATTAACCTAATTAATAAAGGCCCTAACTTCATCAAACAGCACTAATACAAGAGCACCGCCTGTGCCTCTTATAACATTTGAAAAGGCGCCCTTAAAAAATGCAGCAGGACCTTCATTTTTTGTTATTTTTATCCAAGTATCTAAGGTGTTCTTGTACATTACATCACCCTTCTTGCGTCCAGTTTGCATCATCAAGCGTCTTCTTACTGTATCAAAGGGATAAGACAACAGTCCTGCAAACGTTGCCACGCACTGAGCTATGAGAAACGAAATGTAGACTGGAGTATTCTTAGGATCTGGCAACATTCCTTTGGCAGTATCAAAGAATCCAAAATAGGCAGCACGGTATATTATAATACCTTGAACAGACACAGTGAAACCTTTATACAATCCGAAATAGCCGTCAGACTTCACTGTTTTCACAAGACAATCCCACAGACCCGTGAATTGTCTCTCTTGTCCAAGTTTTCCCACATCCGCTCCCACTCTTGTTCGTGCAAAGTCAAGGGGATACACAAAGCATAAAGATGTTGCTCCGGCAGCTCCACCCGAAGCCAAATTTCCTAAAAAATAACGCCAAAATTGTGTATTCTTGTCTACGCCTCCCAGAAAAATAGTCTTATACCTGTCTTTGAAAGCAAAGTTCAACGCTTGAGTTGGAAAATATCGAATTACATTGGCCAAGTTCCCTCTCCAGAAACTAAGAAACCCTTGTTCTTTAGGTATGCGAACAAAACAATCGATCATTCCTTTGTACTCTTTTTCCTTCGCTATTTGTTTGGATGCAGCTTGAACTTGCAGCAAAAGTTTCACTCTTTCAATTGGTGCCACAACTGTTTTCGAAATTGCGGCAGCTATACCACCAGCAAGGAAATCTTTTATAAATGGCATAGGATCCGTCATGATTGTACGTTGTTTTCGTCCACACAATGAAATGTTTGTGTTGGAAATTCTAAATTCTAGAGCCACCAGTCAGGAAAGCGTTATAAAGCACTTTTTCCGCAAAATATGAGTGTCATATATTTTCTCGATTTCTCAATCACATATTGTAAAGAGGTTCACATGAACTACAAACAGTTTCAAAGTACAGCTTCACCACGCGTCCAAAAAACAAAAGTCATGGCCTTCCCTTACAGTGCTGTAATATATCATATTACATTATGTAAACCCCTTGGACATTGGTAGGCGAGATGTAAAAATAAAGACAGGAGGCTTTGGAAAAGACACGTTAAAAAAAAAGGTTCGAGTGAGGACGTTTTGATGTTTGTTAATAACTAAGGAACTAATGTTTCAATAACAACAGAAGTTGTGTAATAGTTTCGAGTAGTATTTACGACAAGAAGTGACCCGGAATATTCTCTGCCCGGGAACTTCAGTAAATTGAATTGAGCGCTGAAGTTCGCGAAGAGGAAGTTAACAACTGAGAAGCATACAAGTTAATATGTCATTGTTTATATTATATTTTTGTTTTTTATTATTTAATATGTATTAATAAAACTGAAAGAAGAACAGTGCTATTAGTGCAAGGAAAATTAAGGAAGGCATTAACCGGGTGGGAGTAATTATTAAAAAAATTATCTTGTTTATTGTGCTATTTTAAATTTTTTTAGTTCATGTAAACAAATAAAGTAATACAATTTTGTTTATTCAACATAAATGTTAGTGATATTTATTATTAGGTGTAGAACTTTTTTTATGATTTTAAACCATTTTTCACAATTTGTCCAATGTTTTCCGTATGGAGAATTTCCAAGAACAAATCCATTCCTTGAAAATTAGTAAGTTATTATTCTGGTGATGTATTGATGAGAAAAACACGAGCATATTAATTTATATATTTAGGTACGTCTCAAATAGTGTTTGGCGCGACGTGAGGGCAAATTTTGGATATTTGTTGTAAAGAAATTTTCAGCATTTATAGACTTTTGTGGTTGAAGTGATTTAAGGTTCAAAATTGCAAAATAGGCATTTCTGTTTTGAATGAATATAAAAATAGAGGTTCTTTAAATGGGAAAATGAACACAATTCCGACTATTGTGTTTTAAAATTTGTTTTAATTATATTTGTGAGGAATTTTGGTTTGTTGTCAGTTGATTATAATTACTATTATTATTTTGTTTTGATATTTATAGGTTAAATATAAATTAAACACTATTTTGAAAAACTCAGTAACACACGTTCTCATAAGGAACTATTGTTGCGGGTAGACAATTGAAACATATAAGATTCTTTGTCGAAAAATATTCAAAGATTTAAGTAACTTATATAAATTTGAATTTGCTTATCAGATAATTAAGTAATATTACTACAAAATCGAAACTAGAAAGAGATCAAAGAAACAGACAGAGGTGGTGGACAGCGGGAACACATACGTTTTCTGATGAAGGATTTGTTACATCTGATGTAAACGCACAAATAGATTCAGAAACTAATAAATTAGATGATTTGGTCGCGGTTAGTCCGGATCAAAACGTAATGCCAGCTAATAAGGATGTCAACAAATAAAATGAACGGGAAATGGAGAATACGTAAATAGTACAATATAAGATATTTCCAACTGTTTCCGTAATAAACAGTTAATAGTAAACGAAAAGAAAACGGTTTCAATGTTTCCATTTCAAATAAACAGTTCTGCACTTCTCTGAAAATGGACGGTGTGTCATGGACTGATGATAAGGAAACAAAATTTGTAGATCTTTCAATTCAGTTAAACCTTAAATGGTATGTCCATTTAAATCAATTGAACACTAACTTCTTCTTCTTAAATTCTTCGTGGTACGCTTTCAGAATCCTTGTGATTACCCACGTGATTACTGTAAGCCTCTCTTTATTAATCTAGGTATTTTATCATTACATTGTCTCTTCATATAAGAATCCGTATTTTTGTCAAAAATGACTTACTTAAGGGCGGGAATACATTTTCAGCAAACGCCGTTGTATACTACAACTACAACACTCGACAGAATACTCATATTCATCAGGTGATAGTATCAACAGCTCCCTACAAATTCTCTTATAATACATGTGTACAGCCCTACTAATAAAACCTTGGTGTAACTTCGTTAAAACACGCTTATTCCGGAATAGTTACTTCCCGAATTTAATTGTATAAATGTCAATCTGGCGAAAGTGTTTGTAAAATAATGTACCAGCCCTACCAATACACGTGGTGTAAAATTTATTCTGTGGCTTAGGCGCAAGAATAGCAGGATAAATAGCGCACCACTCCTATTACTCGCGCAACTTTTTCTTGAAGATGACCTTGAACCCCGCTCCCTTGTGCAAGAAACAGTTGAACGCAAAAAGCTCGCCAGCGGGCACTGATACAACCTTCCAAGCATTGACTTCGTTGGCGCGAAACAGAACTAGTCAAAGCAGTTGCTTTCATAAGCAGAACGCCTGTTCAGGTTTATTATCATATCGAAAGAAATGGCTGAGTCAGGTCCAGGTCCTTCAGAAGAGTCACGCTAAAACTGCCCGAAAAGAAGTACACAAGATGCAGTTTTGACTTTCATTTCAACAGACGTTTGGCATTACTTCAAAAATAATCTAGTGGCCTACTTTGTAACTATACCGCCTCACTCCTCCCGAAGATCGTCAAATCCATCGTTTCAAGAAAAGTTGGCCCGGTAATCCAATAAAACACTGGGACTAACTCGAGCACGGGAATAAGAAGAGGTATTAGTTTTCCCATGGCAACCGCTAAACACCGGAGACACGTAGTTTAAGTGTGGAATAACCGGGAAATAACCTAGAATACGAAACAGAGGTGAATAAGCACGAAAACTGTTTGTGCGTTTTCGCTCATTGTATATCTAATTTTCAATTCGCCCTGTCTTTCTTTTTTCTTTTCTTTGTGTTTTCTGGAATTATTTGGCAACTAGTTTATTTCGTGAAATCATTAATTGTTCGTTTTTTCTTTGACTTTTGGCATTGAAACTTCGAAGTGATTTTGTTGGCGTTTCCTTATTAGAACATAGAAGTTAAACAACATTGATGAAAATGTACGGACAGCCGAGGGTGAAAAAAGTAACTGGACACGTGTAGACTCTTTTTGAAGGGTTAATTCGGCTGAATTTCGAATAAAAATGATTTTTCGTGGGACGGTACGCAGCAGTTAACCAAGTGTGTTTCAGGAGTGTCCATTAACAGTAAGCAACCATATCCCTGAATAGGCCCATAGTCGAGTCCATTATAAGTAATTTTTAAATCATTAATGTGGCAATACCTCTAGAAAATTAAGGATATACATTGTTTTATTTCAATAGAGTAATTAGTGTTATCCCATGATCAAATTAAATCAAATAAATGATATGACACACTGTTTTCATACTTTCAATGATCAAATTAAAACAAAGACTGAAGATGAGAATTTTCTCATGGGCAGATTTTTGTTGAAAGTCCCTACTTTTTCCCTCTATGAATTAATTATGATCCCACAAAAAAACATGGAAAACAAGAAAAGAAAATACTGTTTAGAGATGTTTTGTTATTGAAAAGCTGCTTTCAATGCTCAGAAGAGACTGCAGAATTATGCAGAGCGTTGGCTTTCAAAAAATCAGAAATTTCATGTGGAGAAAGAAGCAATCGACTACTTTTACTACCAATAGTTTGGCAGATGTTTTTGTGAGCAGCAGCAAGTTTGGAGAGCTATTAACAGAGAAAAATTAAAATAAAATGTATGATACATAATTGACGTTAAGCATTTTATTGAATGTAACTAATTTAAAATACAAGTTATACTTGTAATGTTTGATAATAGATATATTTGATTTTATAAATATGCTCCAGTGGTTGTCAGCTATTGAACATTTAAATTTTTAGGTATCAAATTCTCTTCTTTATGTCAAGAATACAGAAAATTTAGTTTTTCAATTGAGTGTTCTGAGAAAACTTTTGTATTTTTAAAATTCCATTTCCATACTACTGCTCATTTCTTACCCTTTTTTAAATCTGAATTTACTAGTTTTTTCTACAAATAATGTACAAGAACTTGTCTTTGTATTCTACAATCTCTGCACCATAAACTATCTCTGCAAAGTACAGTAAACAGAATTACCTTTAGGAAAACAATATACGACAAGGAGTGGATTGTTTTTCAATGTAAATAAAAAAAATGTTATGCCAAATATAATTCTGCAGAACCTACTCCTTCCTGAAAGCAATTAATTGTAATCCCTGCCTTTAACGATATACTGTAGTAAGAGAAGGCAAAACTATTTTTTTAAACATTCGCTTCAGTGAAATAATTTTAGTGATATATTTTTTATATTAAGTTTCGGAGGGTAATGGTTTCAGAAAATGTATTAATAAAAACAGATATTCTTGAGAAAATAAATATTCTAATATGGTTAGAAAACTAATTTCATTCACTCACTATTGTTTACGACATATTTTCAATTAGTTGTATGTTAACAAAAATGAAAAATAATTAATTTTTTGGTGAGAAAGGGAAAATTCAACTTGACATGAGCTTGCTTTGAACAATTTAACTTTTTAAATTCTAATTCATATAAGTGGGATTAAATCAAATATAATAAATTCAATATAATTAGATCACAAGCAGTACATTGTCCAATTATACAGCACAAAAATTTAAATAATGTTCTATCCTTATATCAGAATTAAGTGTTCCTAATGGCATATGAGTAAAATGGAATTGGAAACTGCTGTTTTAATTGGTAATTAAGTTGAATGGCGATTTTTTCTTCTCTAACAATTATTGTTCGACAATCATATAAAACATTCTCCCATTAAGTTAGTATTAACTTCTCCTTTTTTTATTATATTTACTTGTATTTTAACTTTATTTGCAATAATTATATATGGCAAGATGCCAGCACATAATTTGAAGGTAAATAATTTACCCACAATATTAAAGAATAATATGTAAACTATATTTGAATAAATACCATTCTGTAAAAAAAATTAAATTGAAAAGGGGGGAATAATTAATTTAAATTACGGATGATGGGA